ATGTTTATATTATATCATTATAAGGGCCTTCCCTGGTGGCTCAGATGGTAAAGAATTCACTTGCAATGCAGGAGACCTGGGTTCGATCCCTGGGTTGGGAAGATCTCCTGGAGAAGGGAATGACAACCCACTCCAGTATCCTTGTCTGGAGAATTCCATGAGCAGAGGAGCCTGGCAGTATATAGTCCGTGGGGTTGCAGAGAGTCGGACAAGACTGTAAAGGGTACAACTAAGTAACATGCCTTATTATTTCCTCAGAAAAAAACTTCAAAGGTAAAATTAATGGGTTAGATCAAGTTTACTCATTCATGCCTTTCCTGAGTGGTGTTTTACAAGAGCTACAGAAAAAACATTGAATTTCACTGGAGGTGGTGGGGGAACCATGGTGGAAATGTGATTCTCAGAAGAAAAGACCAATCCTTCATCATGGCTTTGGTGATTCCCTGATTAGATGTTTCTGTTCAGTCAACCGTGCAGGTACCCAGGGGCTCCCACACAAGCAGATCAGTGCGTACATACGTCAGGATTTGAACAGGAATCGGCCCAACCTGTGTTGGAAGCGTGAGTGCCCTTCTGTATTTTGTAGCCCTGGGAATTCCTAAGCAACATCCTACCATCATTTCTTTATTTCAGAGCTTAAATTTGGTAGCCAGAGGAGCTATCAGTATTGTGTTCAACAGGCAAATGCCCTGATAGAGATTCTTTAGAAATCTGGGACATCATTTAATTTCAGAGTGATTTTGGTTTCTCTGTGAACAGGCTGTCAGAGAGCTCGATGAGGATTGTAGGTCGGTCCTTAACTCTACGAGCTTCCCTTCTTCTCTTTCTCAGCCCGCCCCTTCCCCACTTTCTCCCTTTCACAAGCATCCAGGGGCACATTGGAGGGGAGAAGGTGAAGTTAGATCTGACTCCAGCGTGGGAGGAATCTCAACGGAGGAGGGTGCTGAGTGATGCAAAGAAGTGTGAAGGCGTAAAGAGCACTGTGGCCTCGTCTTGAAGGGCTTGGAGGCCTGTGACAGGGACACCGAGGTTGACAGGACAGAGGAGGGGACGGGACAGAGGAGGGGACAGAGGCGGGAGACCCCAGAGAGCAGCGGATGTGCGGGAGGGGAGGAAGCACAGATGGAGCTGGCCAGGGGGAGCTGAAGGCGACTGAAAGAGGGGGAGAGTGCACCAAGGAGGTGAAAGTTACCATGCTCTGGGGACACTGCCGTGCAGGGCTTTAGCTCATCAGCCTGAGAAATGGTCACGAAAAGCTCTCAACAGAATGCAACACGTGTATTGGGCAGAATATTTGCCTTTTGGCTCCCAAGCTTCCTACGGAAGATGGATAAACTACTGGCTAGGTGTGTGTGTTCCGCACATATTTCACCCCAACACAGTCTTAAAGAACACCCCGAGGGAACATTTCCTTTCTACTGAGCTGGAAGATTATTTTGAGTCTTTCAAGAGCCTGTTTGTATCATTGAAGTGACATTGCGTGATCTAGTCTGCTTATATGATATAAATAATACTTGCTTCCCTAAAGTAACCAACCCTGGGCCCACAGGGAACCTAGGAGTCTCAGAGGAGATGCAAGACTAGAACCCCACGTGGTAGCCTGAGATGAAATCAGAAAGGTCCTGGCAGCCCTAGGGTGAGCTGTGTGTGTGTGTGTGGCGGGGGGAGCTGTGTGTGGGGGAGGAGCTGTGCAGGGTTGGGGGGACCCACACCTGCCAGGAGCAAGGCAATCAGGCTTCAGAATAAACGTGTGTGTATCTATCTGGGGATACCGCCAAGGCCAACAGGCTGTAAACCAAGTCAGAGGTTTGAGGTCAGTTGGGTTTTGAAGCCCAGGTATCTTTCACACAAGTTCAGTTCAGTCGCTCAGTCATGTCCGACTCTTTGTGACCCCATCAACCACAGCACGCCAGGCCTCCCTGTCCATCACCAAGTCCCGGAGTCCACCCAAACCCATGTCCATTGAGTCGGTGATGCCATCCAACCATCTCATCCTCTGTTGTCCCCTTCTCCTCCCGCCCTCAATCTTTCCCAGTGTCAGGGTCTTTTCCAATGAGTCAGCTCTTTGCATCAGGTAGCCAAAGTATTGGAGTTTCAGCTTCAGCATCAGTCCTTCCAATGAACACCCAGGACTGATCTCTTTTAGGATGGACTGGTTGAGTCTCCTTGCAGTCCAAGGGACTCTCAAGAGTCTTCTCCAACACCACAGTTCAAAAGCATCAATTCTTCGGCGCTCAGCTTTCTTTATAGTCCAACTCTCACATCCATACATCACCACTGGAAAAACCATAGCCTTGACTAGATGGACCTTTGTTGGCAAAGTAATGTCTCTGCTTTTCAAAAGGAGCTCTTTATAAAAAATAAAATAAGCTGCAAAGGTACTTTGTGCAGCACAGGGAAATCAGGCAACGTTTTATTGTAATTGTAAATGGAGTGTAAGTTTCATTAAAACTGTGAATCACTATATGTATACTTGTAACTTACATAATATGGTACATAAACTATATCTCAATTTTTAAAAGTCCTGCTGCTGCTAAGTCGCATCAGTGTCCAACTCTGTGCTAAAGTCTCAAAAAAAGGGAGACAGCTGAAATATAAAAATTAGAACTTCCTTGCTGTCACCTCCTTCCCTCCCTTTTCTCCTTCTTTTATCATCTATCAGCCCTACGATGAGGCAGAGTGGCTCCCGACCCCACCCGGGAGGATTTCAGATATTGTCAGCCAAACCTGTTTTAGATATTCCCAGGGCAATTCCTTGACCAAATCAGAAAAGCTTCTTTCTATTCTTACCCTTCTTCATGGAGCTGAGATCACTGTGTAGGGGGTTGGGAGAGGCCAAGTTTTGTTTTATGAAAAAAAAAAAGAGGACCCATAATTTCTATGTCTCTCTCTCTCAGCCAAACCCCAACCTGCCTCTCTTTCTGCAGGCCACGGGAAATCTGTGTATTCCAGGTTATTGTGACACGGAAGCCTTGGTAACCAAGATCCAAGGTTGACTTGCTGCATGTGGAAGAGTGTTTCAAAAAAACTTTAAGCAGAGGTTAAGCGTTGGAGAGCGAGCCTGAGTTTATAGTTTAACAAAACAGCATGTCCTAGAAAATGAGTAAGAAAGTTAACGAGGATGGAGCTTTAGGTATCTGTCAATATCACCTTGGTTTATGTAACTAATGCTGCCTATTTATCTACCTGTCAACAGGGGGATGATTTCATAAGCTGTCTGAAGACAGAGTCTGAAGGGATTGGCTTTCTCAGCACTGGTCGGCTTGCTGGTTTAGAGGGTGGGTCGAAGCTGAAAGACCTCGAAGACCGGGTGAGGGGCTGGGGTAGACAGCAGGGAGTGGTGGCGACTGTGGCTTAGAGGCGTCATCCTTGCATGGCTCCAACTCTCTGGGCCTGCAGAAGCTGGGCTCATGTATGGCTGTGCCTTCCAGCTTTTCCAGGGGAAGTCAAGTTATGGATTTTTACATAAAATTTCCTGATTCTCAAATGCTAACAACTGCTTGTTTTTATTGTCTTTTATTTTATTCTCATTTTCAAAAGTGTATTTGCTTTGGGTTGTGCTGGGATGTGGCTGTGTGCAGACTCTCTAGCTGCCGTGAGTGGGGGCTGCTCTTTAGCTGTGGTGCACAGGCTTCTTGTTGTGGTGGCTTCTCCTGTTTTGGAGCCCAGGCTCTCGGGCATTCCAGCTTCAGCAGTTGCGGTGCACGGGCTTAGTTGCTCCATGGCACATAGGATCTTTCTGGACCAGGGACTGAAATCTTGTCACCTGCGTTGGACGCAGATTATTGAACCCTTTGAATTCTTCATCGCCTACCTTCCCCTAGTCATTTGAAATCAGGTGTGCTCCCATATAGAATTCTAAAAGCCATATATACTCCAGGCCTCCACCCTTGACTAAGCTTCTTCAGGAGAGGAAATCAATCATGTATCTGCTTTCTTTTTTTTTTTGTATCTGCTTTCTTAACAATTATTTTTTATCATGGTAAAATATCCATAACAAAATTTACTAACTGGACCACTTTTAAGAGTACAGTTCAGTGACTTTAAGTACATTCATGTCGGTATGTAACCGTCACCATCATCTATGTTGACTTTTTCATCTTCCCAAACTGAAATTCTGTATCCATTAGAAAACAACTACCCCATTCCCACCTCCCACCAGCCCCTGGCAACTACCATTCTACTTTCTGTCTCTATGAAAGTGAAAGCGAAAGCCGCTCAGCCATTTCCGACTCTTTGTAACCGCATGGACTATAGAGTCCATGGAATTCTCCAGGCCAGAATACTGGAGTGGGTAGCTGTTCCCTTCTCCAGGGGATCTTCCTAACCCAGGGATCGAACCCAGGTCTCCCACATTGCTGGTGGATTCTTTACCATCTGAGTGACCAGGGAAGCCCCAAAATACTGGAGTGTGTAGCCTATCTCTTCTCCAGCAGATCTTCCCGACCCAGGAATTGAATTGGGGTCTCCTGCATTGCAGGCGGATTCTTTACCAGCTGATCTGTCAGGGAAGCCCTCTGTCTCTATAAATTTGACTAACTCCAGGGACCTCATATAAGTGGAATTATACGGTGCTGTGTCTGGCTTCTTTTACTAAGCAGAATGCTTTTAAGATTCATCCAAGTTGTTGTATGTATCAGAATTTCCTTCCTTTTTATGGCTGAATACTATTCGTCTTTCTCTCTCTCTGTGCCCACTCACCCCGTGTGTTTGCGTAAATATATACACCACATTTTGTTTATGCATTCATCCATCAGTGGACATTTGGGTTACTTCCACCTTTTCGCTACTGTGAACAGTGCTGCTATGAGTCTGAAGTGTACACATGTCTGCTTATTAAGTCTGCTTTAGTTCCAAACCTGTCTGCTTTCAAAGGTTCACTGATGATCCAAACAAGCACCCCTCTTTCAGAACTACTCCTACCTGGTGGCAACCAGTCTGCTGTCGGTTCTGCATTTCAGCCTCATCACCTGTTCTCTCACACCACCTGATGGTTATAGGTCAACAGCGAGCTCCTCACTCTGGCTAACCCAGCAGATAAGGAATTAACGGAGGGAGACTGGCCAGCTCATTGCATCCATGAGAAAGCGGATTCCGGGGAGGCTGGGACAAGCAAGGTCCTGCCTCAGGAACAGTCGGCTTCGGATGCCAGTGCTGTCACCACTGCAGGTGGACACTTCCTGCGGCGCAGCTGGTTCCTCCACTGGACTCTGGCCTGGGCAGCATTTAACCACACCAACCTCCCTACCACTGAAGGTGAGTCAGTTGTGGCCAGCGCAGATACACTCCAGCAAGCCCCTGCCTCTCTGTCTCAGCCCCAAATTCATCATCCTATGCAGGGGGTCTGACTGACTTCTAGATAACAAGCCTGAGCTCTCGGTGCCTAGGACTGGGGAGAGGGAATATCTTTGACTTTTGGCTTCCTGAGTGGCAGTGGACGCCCTACCTTTCATGTGGCTGGAGATTCACCCCCAACAGGAAGAGAATTTGTAAGCACTGGTGCACTGGCACTTATGGTACCTGCTCACCAAAACACACGTGCACGGACTCCTCCACATTCCAGGACGTCACATCAGTAGCTTGGAACTGACCGCGGATGATGGGAATACAGACACCAGGAAAGTGAAGTGAAAGTGAAAGTCACTCACTCATGTCCCACTCTTTGCAACCCCATGAACTATACAGCCCATGGAATTCTCCAGGCCAGAATACTGGAGTGGGTAGCCTTTCCCTTCTCCAGGGGATCTTCCCAACCCAGGGATCAAACCCAGGTCTCCTGCATTACAAGCAGATTCTTTACCAACTGCTACAGATCAGGGCTTTGTTTTTCCCTCAGAGTGTCAGTTTACGAGCATGCCAACGATTCATACACCAGATAACCCAAGTGACAGAGGTCGACTCTCCAGGAAAAAAAAAAAAAATTGGTGATTTCTGCAAATGAAATTATTGAACAGAGTTGAAGGAAGAAAGGAGAGAGAACAAGAGAAAAAGAGACCATCCACAAACTCTGGGTATGTTTCTGTAGGTATAAAGACAGCTTAGAACAGTGCCATCCAATAGAAATATAATTTGAACCAAGGGTGTTTTATTTACTTATTTGGAAGGAAGAGGTTCATGGCTGACAAAACAGAAAAAAGGAAAAACTCACAAGCATATAACTTGTGCTCATTAATTTCAGTTTCTAAGTATCTCCTTGCATTCAAACTAAACATCGTCTTTTAATGCCCAGACCTAAACTGGTACTTTTTATATTTTTGAATACCCAAATTTTAATCTTACCCTTTCTATTTTGTCCGCTACACACATAGATACATGTAATTTGAAATTTTCTAGTGGCCATTTTAAAAGAAGAGAAACAGGTGAGATTAATTTTAGCAGTGTATTTTATTTAACTGGTGTGTCCAGAATATTATCCTTTTGGCAGTAATCAAAAATTTTAAAATATTAAAGAGGTGGTTTACATTCTTTTCTTCATACTAAGTCTTCAAATTTAGGGTGTAGTCTATACTTACAGCACACCTGAGTTCAGGCTAACCACATTTCAAGAGCTCAGTAGCTGTATGTGTCCAGCGCTGCCATACTGAACAAGGCAGGCTTAGAGCAGTTCAAGAATAGAATGGTCTTCAAATCATTTCCCAGTGGTGCGTTGCGAGGAATAACTTATATTCTTTTCTTACAGGTGTGGAAAATCAGAAGTCCCAAGGTGGCACAACCGTGAGTTACTTTTTTGCCATTTGCATTGGTTGATTTGGGTAGAGAGTGGGTCAGTTCATACGGATCTTTCTTATGCATCAACTATAAATATTGCTGAAAATATCAATATAAACTTGAAAATGTATGCACACATGGACTGAGATAGGAGGGGGTTGGAAGACAGGATATGTGAAGACCCCCATGTGAGCAAAAGTGTCAAAGGGGTCCCATGGCTCTACCAGACTGGTTCTCACCTCTGGTGAGAAGGACTAGACCCTGTTTATCTCATAGAGACAGGCACTCACATATATTGTTGGCAGAGTGTTAGCTTTGGAGGAGTCATTTGACAACAGTTATTGACATTTTAAAAATGCAAGCCCTTTGGCACAAATGTTTTTCTAAGAATAACCTTAGGAAGGTCCTACTCACATGCAGGGATATATGAGCAAAGATATTCATTCAAATATTGAAAACAACTAAAGCATTTATCCCCAAGGACTGGGGCCATGAACTATAGCATGTCCAGCTTGTGGAACACTTGGCAACCACTGAAATTGAGACCTGTATTATTTATTTGTAAATAAATAAATTACTGATAATGACAAGGAAAAGAAGTTACAGTATACACAAAAACATGGAAAGAAAAAAGCCAGTTGCAAAAAGAGTCTGAATTGAAAAAATCTGAATAATAAACCATTTTTGCAAGAAAGAAAAAATTCTTTTCTGTGGAGGTATTGAAAAGAAATTTTGGATTGGGAGTTTGGGATTAGCAGATGCAAGCTATTACATATAGGGCGGATAGACAACAACGTCCTAGTATATAGCACAGGGAAATCTATTCAATATCCTGTAATAAACCATAATGGAAAAGACTATGAAAAATAATATGTATAACTGAGTCACTTTGGTGTTCAGCAGAAATTAAACACAACCTTGTCAATCAAGAATTCTTCAATTTTTTTTTTAAAGGGGAAATAAAGAAACTTTGGAAAAAATACAGTCAGGCTATATGAGGGTGTAGGGTGGTAATAGGAGGCTTTAGGTCCAGAGCTTTCCTTTTTAACTTTATATAAGTTTATAATATTTGAAATTTTACAATGATCTTGTATTGTTTGTAGAACCACAAAAAAGATATAAAATGCAAAGAGACACATGAACATATTTCAAAAGAAAAATACCCAGTGAGTTCGAGGCTATGAGATCACACTTTCTCAGGGCTTGACAGTGGGAGTGTGCATCGGTCCTGCCTTCCCGGAGGGACCTACTTGTCAAGTGCAGTTAAAATCTTGCCAACTTGATAACTTTCTCTCTCTCTCTCTTTAAAAAAAAATACCACTGTATTGAAATAAAATACATGCTGCATACAATACATTCTTTTGTCATGTGGCTGGTTCTTGGAGGCCTTCTCTTATTTTACTTTATTTTTTAGCTGCAGCAGGTCTTAGTTGCTGCACGAAGGATCTTTAGTTTCAGCTTGTGAGACCTTTTGTTTTCAGTTGCAGCATTCAAACTTTTAGTTTCAGCATAAGGGATCCAGTTCCTTGAAGAGGGATCAAACCTGGGCCCCCTGTTTTTGGAGTGCAGAGCCTGAACCACTGGACCACTAGGGAAGTCCCTGGTAACTTTCAATATGATTGACTTCACCTCTAGAAATTTATGCTAGGATGAACTGCTAAGAGGGCACATACGTGTTTGCATAAGATCATTACGGTACGACTCACAGTGGTAACACTGAGGGGAGACTGAGATGTTCATATACAGGGAGTGACTTCGATAAATTACAGAACAGCATGTGGTAGAATCCAGGTTAAAATGGTGACATGGGAACGTATTTATTGGCATAGAATGCTGTCTGCGATCTACTGTTAGAGGAATAAAGCAGGTTACAAGACAGGTCTGTCTCGTTTAACTATGATCTGTTTTGCATATCTGACTCTATGTTTAGAGATGAACATTTGTAACCGTCTATACCAGGGGATTGTTAGCAGTGGTTTTCCTAGAGCAGTGAGATGATAGATAATTTCTATTTTCTTCTGTATGCTTTCTGAAACGGTCTGATTTATTTGCCATGGGTACATCTAGTGGCTTTGCTTATTTCAGAAAGTAATGAAGAGTCCTCTTTAAAAAACTGTCATAGACGAGAGCACACCAAGGATTAAAGAGTTTACCTATGAATATAAAGCTGTGCAAGGTGACAGAGCTCAGAGAGGAGAGCTGGTCGGGAACACTCTGATGCCAGGCAGGCTGCCCAGAGCTGCTGCTTACGCCCCTGGTATGCCCCTGAATCCGTGGGCAGGGAGCTGCCTTCAGCACTGGAAGTGTCTCCCTCTAGCCTCCTCGACCTGGCCAGAGCAGGGGCAGTGGGGAGGCAACGGCGGGGAGGGACGCAGAGACACCGGCTGTGTCGTGGGTGGCACAGGAACGGCCCCTTCAAACTACCTGCGCTGCTCTCTGGAGCCTGGGAGGGTGTCAGTGACAAGGGTCCTCTCTGTATTTAAACTTCTGCTTTTTTGCTCATCGTGGATTTTTGCCTCGATTTTTAAAAAATATTGCATTAAAACTTTATCGCGATGACTGATCTCTTGGGGCTCCATTAAATTGTGCGTCCAAAGAAGTGCCTCACTGGCCTTACCCTAGTCCTGACCCTCTTTGCTTCTTGATGCCCTATTTCCTCCTGAGACCCAAGTAGCAAAAACCCGGTCTTAGCTATCTTATTTTACTTTGGGAGACAAGCTTAATTCACCAGAATAGTTTTTTTCTGGCTGTGCCCTGTTGAGCAGTGTAAGATGATCATTTAATTCATGAGTTTGAACAAAAGCATAATGATGATTTAAAATTTAATATGAATAAGGCCTTCCCCCTTCCTTCCCTCTCTCCTTCCTCTCTCCCTCTGTCCCTCCATTCCTTCTTTCTTTCCTGCCTTTCCTCCTTCCTTTCTCATTTAACAAGTATTTCTGATGAGGCAGGTTCCTGAACACAGGCAGAAACTAGCTCTGGGCCACACTACTGAGAAATAAGAAAGAAGACCAGGGCCAAGCAGGAAGGTGCTCCCCGGGTGAACAGAGGCGTGATGGTTGGGTGTGCTGGGCTCACTCTCGGGGGAGGAGACCCAGCACCTCCCTGGAGCCCCCGCCGGCCTGACTGTCCTTTGGCTCCCATGTTCAGAGATGAGTCAGGCAGTGACTTCATTCAAGCAGCCTGGTGTTTACGCCCCTCGCCACAAACCAGTTGATACTGTTTGGAGCTGCTCTGAGCTGACGTGACCCTGGGACAGAATGACATCCACTCAGCTTGTGGCCATTGTGGCCAAAACAGCTGAAATGTTGTGGCTTCTGAAGAACCCTTTGTCTGCCAGTCGATCGGCAGGGGAAGGAGAATCCCAGAGCCCTGCCCCCTCTACCTTGAAGAAACATTTTGGCTCCACAGTCGTAGTGGGTCGTAGCTGGGCTCTGAGAGCCAGCTTGGGAAGACAGACCCCAGCGGAGGGCTCCCTAGGAGAAGCCCCTGGAAAGCCACCTTTGGGCTTGAGCTAGTGCCAGGAGGAGCTGGAGATTGCAGAAGGC